TTATCTTTACCCGCTTATTCCATTTTGGGTCATGGGGGGTCGCTGGTGCCCATGTCCAGCAATCACTGTGCGAGGGGCGGGGTACACCCTGGACGGGTCGCAAGTCCATCATAGGGCCACATAGAGACAAACACTGCAAGATGGCACCCAAAGGAACAGACCTTGGTCAAAGTATCGCTTGTGTTTCATTTGGATTTGGTGGAGGGAGAGGACGCTGGCGCTGCATGTTCGCCGCTTCTCCGCGCTAAGAAGTCATTATACTGTTGCTATATTCGTGGACATTTATCTGGACTTATTTTTGTTCAGTAATTTCTCAATCAGTTCTTATAACAGACAGCTTAATTAGCACTCCCTAACAGGAATTTGGGACTATTGCTGTCAACATACAACTCCAGCACGGCGGCTCGGACTTTGCTTGAAGAACTAGCAACTATTATTGTTGCGCTTACCTTGCTGCTTCTGTCAACCTCCTGTGTCATCTGGATTGTTCCAGTTTGTCATCTTTTGCTGGATTTTTTCCTGTGATATGCTGTGGATTACATCGCACTGCCTTTTGGATATCCTTTTCGGAGCTGTGGGTCTGCTGTTAGCGGCTAGCTCTGTGCTAGCTTCCCCCAGCTTGGCTGGCTCGTCGATGTTGACCTACTCCGCCTCCCAGCTGATTGGATTCAACAACTGCTCCATTCCACCTTCTGTTTCTATCATTAAACAACTGGGCCTTCTGCGTACACCTCGTTATGTCCATAGAGGCTCTCGGAAGAGAACTGTTTACTCTCGGCAAGCTGGGTCTGACTCCATCCCTTCCATCTGGTCTACCGGTCCTGCCGCACATCGATTACATTATCAGAACGCTGCCTCTGTAGTCCCTGATATTGCTGAAAGAACACAGCGCACAAAGTGGCAAGGAAAACCTGGAGTGGACTTCAGGCTGCTTAAACCTCTTCTAAAGGCTTCTACTCCAACCAATATTAAAATAGAACTTTTCAATGCTCAATCACTATCCAATAAATCATGTCTTATTCATGATCATATTCTGGAGAAAAATTTGGACCTCATGTGCCTTACTGAAACATGGCATCAACCAGATGTGTACAGCTCTCTGAATGAAGCCTGTCCCTCTTGATACAGTTATCTGCAGAAAGCCCGCTGCACTGGCCGTGGTGGTGGTCTGGCTGTAATTTACCGCAGTAATTTAAAATGATCACATTTAGCTTCTCGGGACTTTTTGTCTTTTGAATGTTTGGCCTTCAACCTCAAAGCCCCCCTCCTGATGAATGTTATATTGATTTATCGGCCTCCCAAACCACATGTTTCATTTAACTCAGAGATGCATGACCTTCTCACTTTTTTCTGCGCATCTCCTGTGAAAAATATTATTCTTGGAGATTTAGATATCCACATTGATAATTCCTCTTCCCCTCTGGCAGCAGAGTTTAAATCTCTTTTGGACTCTCTCAATCTCACTCAGTATGTTGACGCCCCTACGCACAACGGGGGCACACTCTGGATTTGGTGATTACAGACACTGTACCTATCAATAACTTATAATCTGTATATGATCTGGGTGTCTCAGACCACAGTGTCATCTCCCTGGAAGTGCCTTCAACTTCATCTGCTCCTAATCCTAAACGACTTATCCAGTTCCGTGACTTTAAAAACATTTCCCCTGAGGTTCTGTCCTCTGATCTCCACTCCCTGACCACTGTCAATCATTCATCTGCAAATGACTCTGTGGATTACTACAACCAATCTCTCCAGGAGCTTCTGGACCTCCATGCTCCCTTTAAAGCGAGGCTGGTGTCTTTCTCCTGTTCAGCCCCTTGGTACAGTGCTGAGCTGCGCAAGATGAAAGCAGCTGGCCGTGCTATTGAGAGACGTGTAAAATCATCTGGTCTCTCTGTACATCAGCAGGCATATAAAGAACATCAGAAAGCCTACGCCTTTTCTCTTAAAGAAGCACGGTCCAAATATTATTCTAACATCATCAACAACTGCCCTGGAAACTCTAAACAACTCTTCTCCACAACAAATCATCTCCTTAATCCCATTAAACAGTCTCATGAGGACTCTGTTCAAAAATGCAACCTGTTCCTTTCATTTTTTAAAAACAAAGTTAACTCCATTAGATCTCAGCTCCATAGCCCCCCTGATCTTCATCTGCCATCTACCCGTCTGCATTCTGGGTCCCTGAGCTGCTTTGATGAGGTTGTTGAGAGTGAAGTGGAGACTATCATCAAGAAAATGAAGCCTTCATCCTGCGCCCTGGATCCCTTCCCCTCGTCTCTTATTAATCCAATCACTCTGCAATAAGCCCATTAATCACACAAATAATAAATAAGTCACTGCAATCTGGTCAAGTTCCACTGCCTCTTAAAACTGCCATCATTAGGCCTCTTCTGAAAAAATCTAATTTGGATCCAGACATTCTTTCTAATTACCGCCCAATTTTTCACCTCCCATTTCTGTCAAAAGTGCTGGAAAAAGCAGTTGCTGCTCAGCTGCAGATCCACCTACAACAACACTCCCTGTATGAGAAGTTTCAGTCTGGCTTCCGTGCAGCTCACAGTACTGAGACCGCACTGCTGAGAGTCACCAATGATGTCCTCATGGCTGCTGACACTGGTTCTCCCTCCCTCCTTGTTCTCCTTGACCTCACTGCAGCTTTCGACACTGTGGACCATAGTATCCTCCTCCACCGTCTTCATGTGGCGGTCGGTCTCTGTGACACTGTCCTGGACTGGTTTAAATCTTTCCTCTCCAATAGGCTGGAATGTGTTAGTCTTGGCAATGCCAAGTCCCAGACTGTCTGTCTCCTGTGGTGTCCCTCAAGGGTCAGTTTTAGGGCCCCTGCTATTTTCCCTTTACATGTTGCCTTTAGGTCAAATTATTAATCAGTACAACATTTCTTTTCACTGTTATGCCGATGATACACAGCTTTACATCAGGACTGGAGCATCATCTTCACCACTGTCATCTCCATCTTCGCTCGCTGCCCTCTCTACCTGCCTGGAGGAGATAAGGGCATGGATGAATCAGAACTTTCTTCAGTTAAACTGCTCCAAAACAGAGGCCATACTGATTGGCACCCCTCACCAGGTTCAAACTTCAACTATAACGACTATTTCCTTTTCTGGACAAGACATCCCCCTCTCCACCTCTGTTACAAATCTTGGAATAAAAATGGACTCTTATCTTACATTTGAAAATCACATTAAGCATCTGTTTAAAACCTGTTTCTTCCATCTTCGAAATATCTCCAAACTGCGCCCATCTCTCACTTTTGCTGATGCAGAGAAACTCGTCCAAGCTTTTGTCTCCTCCAGGCTCGACTACTGCAATTCCCTGTTTACTGGAATACCCGGCAAAAACCTTCAGAAGCTTCAATATATTCAAAACAGTGCAGCCAGGATTTTATTGAGAGCTCGTAAATTTGAACATATTACACCCATTCTCCATAACCTCCATTGGCTTCCTGCCACCTACAGAATTCAGTACAAAATTGCTCTCATCACCCATCAGTGTTTATACGGAAAATCACCAGATTATCTGAAGGACCTTCTTGCTCCATATTCATCCACCCGGTCCCTACGATCACAGAACAGTCATCTGCTCCACCTTCCACGAACTAAATTAAGAACCATGGGAGATCGGGCATTCTGTGTGGCTGCCCCCCACCTCTGGAACTCCCTCCCTGAATATCTGAGAGCTCCACAATCATTGACTGACTTTAAAAAAGGCTTAAAGACTTTTCTTTTTAAGCAAGCCTATTCTGCCTCCACATGACTGTATCATTGATTTTAGTTGATTGTATCATTGATTTTAGTTGATTTTATCACAGATTTTAGTTGATTTTATCGCTGATTTTAGTTGATTTTATCATTGATTTTAGTTGCACTCTGTAGCACTTTGAGATTTTTGTTAATGAAAAGTGTGTTACAAATTAAATTCATTATTATTATTATTATTAAACAAGACAAACAACCATTCACTCTCTCATTCACACCTAGGGACAATTTTAGAGTTACCAATCAGCCTAACATGCATGTTTTTGGTCTGTGGGAGGAAACCGGAGCACCCGGAGAAAACCCACGCATGCACAGAGAGCACATCCAAACTCCACCCAGAAAGGCCCCTGGACCGGGGTTTGAACCAAGGATCTGCTCGCTGAGAGCCAGCAGCTCTACCAGTTGCGCCACCGTGCTGCCTTATTATCACCATTGGTTTATAAAATATTTTGCTAACAGGCATAAACATTGCCCTTTGACCTTTTGCAGCAGCCACTTCCCTTTGGAACGTTACGAAGTGAGCTGCCACATTAATGACGTGCGTTTGGTTTTTATTTTCTGACGTTGACTACCTTACAGGAGATTTCTTATCAGGGCTGAACACACTGACGCCAGAGGGTTATCAGCAGGTTCTGTCCCACTGTAAAGACTTTGTGTCCACTCAGTGACTGTAAATACCACAGAACAGAAGTCTGAGGCACAACGTTGAGCCTTCACAGCTGAACCAGGTAAAGTTTCTCAGAGGCTGAGTGAAGCAGAGCTGCAGTAAGGAAGCCTTCTGCGAGCAGAGCCTTCCTCCCTCACTCCTCTATTTTATCTTTATTGCCATGGCAGTGAGATGCTCACCTGTGTCTCCTCTGATTTACACAAGCAGGGTCCAAAGGCTGCACATAAATTTATTACAACACCCAGTGAACTCTGGAAAAACTTAGCTCTTTATGTAAACTATAAAAAAAACATAAGCTGATCCTTGGTAGTTCATTGAACCAGCATTAAAGTTTAATTTTAGGATTGTGCTGCTGTATTTGGGATATGAGGGTTAATCAAAGGCGTTATTTATGCAACAGTTCAAGTTGGGGAAACTGAAGTGTAACAGTGGGATGAGCGTGTTCACTAAGGCAAGCCAGCTGTTCACCTCTGTACGTTTCACTTCCTGTTCGTCACAGTCGGTCCAAAGTCAAAGGATCATAAAAATCTCCATCAGTCATAGAGGAGCTGTGTTTCCTTCTTCCTTATACTGTTGGATTCTAAACTGCTCGAGTCCGGAGGCGTCATGAAGTCCACTAACTAAAGGATTGTTGGGTATTCTTTTTTATTTTTTTTAGTACTTTTACATTAACTTGTTTACTCATATGACTCAGATTACAGTGTTGAACTTTAATAATTGTGTAAAGTGGCACCTGATGGGCTGAAAGTAATATCTCAAATGATTGTTATTTTTTTAAATTAGAACTCATCTGATTTTCTTTTATTTAGGGTGCGGCAGAGGAATAAACAGTTTTGTAATGCTGAGAAAGGTATGGCAGCAACAAGTCTTAGAAGTGAACAAGGAGTTCTGTAGAGTCATTGATAAGAAGCTTGCTGGCCACAGTTCCTGCTCAGCGCCTCATTGAAATACTAAATCAAACCTGCTCTCTCAGATGTTTGATAAAATGCTCTTTGTCTTCAGGGGGAGTGGGTATGGGTGGACTCAGATATCGGAGTGCCCATTGGAGCCAGGCTCAAAGAAATGCCAACGGGTCAGAGGCTACTGGTGGACGATGAAGGCAATGTAAACACACTCTGTTGGTTATGGAGCAAAATGAACATATGTGTCAGTTGTGTCAAACAGTTGGGTGTTTTTGTTTTATTTTTGCCTTTTCCCAGGAGCGCAGTCTGGTCATGGAGGAGGAGCAGGAGGCTTTGCTCAGGATCATGCACCCGACATCTGTGGAGGGGGTGGATGACATGACTAAGCTCGGGGACATGACGGAGGCCGGCCTCTTGAGGAACCTGATGCTCAGACACAAACAAGGCCTCATTTATGCAAGTGTCATGGAGAAAATACTCTTAACATTTAGCTTCCTTTCAGAAAACTATGAAATGAAATATATTTGCTTCTATTACACCTCCCTTATTTTAAAATGACAAAAAAAACTTTATTTTATGTTTGCTACTGTGAGTATAAACTGACATCAGCGTGACTACAATATGTAACATTTTGTCTTCAGGGTAATTTTCCCCCATTCAGTCATAAGTTCAGGCATCAAATCAAATTTAATCAACTTTATTTACAAAAACATTTAAAACAACCAAAGTTGCCTTAAGAGTCATAAAAGCATTACAAATATTGTAAAAACACTGACACCCAGAGAGATCAGTCCAGATATCCTGAGAAAATGGTTTCCAAAGCTGGAGTTTCTGCTATTTTGTGAAAACTGAAAAATATGACCACTGATCTAAAAACCAGAGATTTCTTTCCATGGGTTAAACTGTGCACAGGTTTAGAAACAAGTAGAATTTTTAAGGTACAAGAGTGGTGTTGTGCTGAACTTGTCCTGGTACCAGTTAGAAATCTGGTTGCAGAATTCAGAACCAGCTGCAGACAGGATTACAGGGTGATTCATCGCTCTGGGAACAAGCCTCAGGTTTCTGGGGATGCTGTGTGTGAATGTTTATGACCCTGAAGAAAATCACAGCACCACATAAATGCAGTTAGAGGCACACTCTCATTACATGCTCTTTTCTGAACATGGACATTAAATATGCTGTGTATTTTGGACAAACCATAAATAAAATAAATACTGATAACCTGCCCACTTTGTTGTGGGTTTTAGGCAGTTGTAAAATGTTGCACTCCAATAAAATAAAAGTGCTTGTTTATATAACAGAATTAGAAAACTCAAAATCCCAGGACTGGAGTTTAAACACATGCAGAGCTAATAAAATCTTTTTGTCCCAGCTCTATGAAGAAAGTTGAAAATGACACACAGATTCTTGGCATGGCTTTGGTTACACGAAGTGGAATGCTGTTTGCAGAGCTGTTTAGTGAACCAAAGAGAAAGCCATCTCAGTCCTACTATTATTTAACTGAATACATTTAAAAACAATTTATTATTTTACTTCTTTAATACAATTAAAATTTAATCAAACCATTCTCAGGACTTAAGGGCATATAAATGTGTGTATCGTCTGTGTAACATTGAACTGCAACGTTCTTACAGAAGATATTATACAAGAGAAGCATGTGCAACGTAAAGCATGATTTAGACTTTATTTTGTTTTGTGTTTATTAGCTAGGATTCCCCTGTATTGAGTTAATGCTTTTTTATTCTGCAGACCTATATCGGCTCAGTGCTGGTTGCAGTGAATCCATACCAGGACTTTCCTATATATTCAGCGAACCAGGTAAGTGTTAGGAGATTTGGGCTGGATCAACATTCAACATACTGTAGTTTTAAATCATTACCAGTGATGTGCCTCATGCATGCATGGTGTTGATCTTCAGGTGAGGTTATATCACGGTCAGAAGCTTGGAGAACTGCCTCCACATATCTTTGCCATTGCTGAGTCCTGCTACTTCAACATCACACGACACCACAGGAACCAGTGCTGCATCATCAGGTCAGACTCAAATGCAAGCTTCTGTGAATGAAGCTAATATTTTTGGTTCCTATTTCAGTTATCTATTGCCTTTGTTTGTCTCAGTGGGGAGTCTGGAGCAGGGAAGACCGAAAGCACCAAACTCATCCTTCAATACTTGACAGCAGTTAGTGGAGAGTTCTCCCAACAGCAGATTGAAAAGCAGATCCTGGAGTCCAACCCAATTCTGGAAGGTATCAAATTCATTTAGACCTGAGATTCCTGCCAACTCATGTTTTAATATGTCCTAAAGAATTAAGAAAAATGCATTTCTGGTGGAAATTACTTTTTTGGGTATCTTTTGCAGCGTTTGGTAACGCAAAAACAATCCGCAATGACAACTCCAGTCGCTTTGGGAAATACCTCGAAATTTTCTTCACCAAAGAGGGCGTGATCGAAGGCGCTCGCGTGGAGCAGTACCTCCTGGAGAAGTCTCGCGTGTGCCATCAGGTGAGCTCTATCCAAACAAATCCTGCTCCTCATTATCTTTGCACCATAAACCAATAAATTCCCAAAATGATATCTGCTGCAGATTTGTTTAAATTAGTGTGCTGTTACCATGAGAGCCTGTTCCACTGAAAATACAGAAGTAGTGTGAAAGTTTCAAACATCCTTGTTCTGTTTGTTGTTCATCCTCAGGCTTTAGAAGAGCGAAATTACCACATATTTTACTGCATGTTGGCAGGAATCACACCAGAGGAGAGGAAAACCTTGGGTCTTGGGTATGCCAAGGATTATAACTTTCTTAAAAAGGTATTCCTGATAAACTGGGGCAAGTTTTCTGACAGACTGAGGAGTCTGAACAGGTTTAGCTATAAGCGATCCAAAATTTGTCTCTTGTCGTCCTGAAGGGTGGCTGCATTGTGTGCGAGGGCAGAGAAGATGCCAAAGACTTCACCTGCATACGTTCAGCCATGAAGACGCTGACCTTCTCTGAAGGCCAGTTCCAGGAAATCCTCCGGCTGCTAGCAGCCATATTACACCTGGGAAACATCTGCTTTGAAGGTGAGTGTGCTTAGATGAGGACCAGAGCAGGAATTTGCTCTCCACAGGGTGTAATTTAGTTAAGCTTTAAATTATGACATCAGAGACAACAAATCAAGAGTTAATTTAACAGCCTCACTCTTTCCAAAACAACAATAATTACACAAGATGAAAAGTTATTTGTGCATCAGAATGCTATACTTAGTAGCCTTAGTAGTAGTATGACTGGAGATAAATCATAAATTACTACGTGTTCCCTCATGAGAACGCTTGGAGTATGTGTTGAGGACAACTCTCAGCTACTACCAAACTGATTTTTAGCTCAATATCTGTTAAATTGACTGAATTAGAGCCGACCGTGTGTTTACAAAGTTTGTTTAGCTGTGGCATCCACAAACACACGCACGTATGCAAAAACATTATCACCTGTTTGATCCTAGGGACAACACATCACAATGACACAAGGTTTTTTATTTATTTGGCAAAATTCAAGCCAAAAGCAAGCAAGAAAATGTGTGTAAAATATTATAAATCAAACATCTTTCAACCAAGAGGCAGAAAAGCAGCTTTTTGTCCCCCATCGCAGAGTAAAGGGCAGCTGTCCATGCATGCTGCGAGCACGATAACTTTAAAAACAAGTGAGATACCAACTTTTGGTGTGTGGCTTCATCTAATGTAAAAAAGGTTTCTTCTGAAAATTGGGTTGCCATGTCAAAATCCAAGATGGCTGCTGCCATATCTGTATACATGTAAACATTGTGCTCTGGGTAACTTCAAAAATAAGCAACGTGTTGTGCCAACTTCTAGTTTGGTGTGTGGCTGCATGTAGGTGTCAGAAAGGTTGCAATCAATAATTGGGTTGCAAGTTTAACAAGATTTGTTTTTGAAAAGACTGGCAAAAGTCAGCAAATGTTTGTGAGAACACACTGGACAGCCATCTTTTAGGGATCAGAATGAACTTGATCCAGTTGATAAGTTTACTTCTCCAGACAGAGAGCAGGAAGCGGTTAACTGTGGTCATGATGTTGCAGTGACAGTCAAATCCTGAGTGAGGGTGCCGTTGTGTTTGGATCTCTGTCCGTCCATCGGGGATAAATCCAGAGCTCAGTGGGTTAGAGAGCAGGCAAGGGTCATACACAGGGAGACAGACTTCTGATTACGTATCTGGGGTTCAGGCAATACTTGACGGTCAGGATACTGACAAAAGGTTGTCATCCAGAAATCATTGGCTTGGCAGATGTCCAACAAGGGCAAGGCAAAACATCCAGGGCACAGAAACTTGGTGGAATAAAGGAGAGCAGTCAAGGGCATGAGAAGAACATTGGACATCTACTGGAACAAGGCTCTCAATAATCAGGTGAGGAACAGAGAGCAGTGGAGAGTTTAAATGCAGCAGCTAACAGGTGAGTGGAATTATGCTGGTCACAGCGGAGGAGGTGGGCATGGCTGAACAGAGAGCAGACAGGCATGATTCATGACATTGTTAACCTTTAAAGCCTTATTTATCATCTAGTAGCTCTTTGTGGATTTACGAGAACCTTAAGATCAACTAATCCATCTTTACTATTTGTCCCAAGGTACAAATACAAACGATGGGGTAACCATGCCTTTTGGGTCGACACACCCAGTCTCTGAAACCAACTAGTACCTGAGGACTTACAGTCATGTCACTGATTTGGGCCTTTTAAAACCATTTTAATACATCCAGCATTTTAGTATAATTTTGATTGTTTTTAATTTTTGTATTGTGAAGCACTTTGTGCACCTTTTTGCTGTTGCAGAGGGATCTTTAAATCAATATTGATTGTTGATTGATTGATTGAAAACTTTGATGCAGATCTAAAAATAGATTTGGTACACTGAAGGCTTCATGAAGCTCTGAAGGCAGGAAACTGTAGGACAAAAGTTAAGCAAGTTGATGTAAGTCTCGGTGAATCATTGCTGGTCCGGTAAAGACAGATGGTGAAACCACACAAGGCAAAAGTCCTACAAGGAACTCACCGCACTGGATTTCATGCCTGAGCTTTAGCTTCAGATAAGAAACGTTTTGTTTTATCTGATATCAGGAGATGTCAGAGATGTGTTTTTAATGACTCTCAGCTACTACCACATGAAGAGGGTCTTGCTCTTCTATCAACTTTAATGCAGCACGATCCGCAATGTCCGCCCACAAATTTTACATCTAAGCGACCAGCTCAGCACCATGATGTGTGCTATTACTTTTATTGACATTTTGACTTACCATGGTGACGTAATTTGCAAAGATGCCATTTTTCCCATACAAAACGCCTAACGGAACTTTAACAGCCTCCAACTGTCACAGTGAGGTCACATACTGCCCCTTTTCCATTAGTACCGGTACGGGCTGACTGGACCCGACTTGGCCCGGTTCTGAGGCTTTTCCATTAGTACCGGTACTTAGCGCCTGTTACTATTTTCAGGACCCTTGGCTCTGAGGTTCTAACCCAAACAAAGAGGTATTAAAACGTGATGTCAGAACACTGTCGGTCACTGATCGGTCGGGGGTGGAGTCACTGGATCCTTCAGAAACTTTTCAAAACAATGATCCGCCATTTGCAATTTCTCGGACTGGAGCAGCGGCTGGACTTACTTTAAAAACAATAATGACAACATCTTGGTCTAATGCTGACGTGCTGGCGTTTTTTGTGCTTGGTGGCCGACGACATAATTCAGAGCAAGCTGGATGGAGCTCTGCTGGTCTACCCCGGTCCTCCCCCCGGAGCCCCAGGCCGGGCAGGGCGTCATCTCCCCGGCTCCGAGTTCCGCTGGTCACCGCGTAAGATCCTTCGTTGTGCCGACTCGGAGGCTCGGGTTCCGGATCCCAGCCTTGTGTGCACAGAGCTCCGCTGGTCACTGTGAAGCTGGAGATGGTGACTCGCAGAAGGCCATTGCCAGACCCCGGCCGCGCGTAATCCTGAAGGCCGAATCCCGGTCCCGCCCGGCAGACAGGCAGACTGGAAAGTCTGGGATGGACGGTGGAAGCGATTTTTAAATAAACTAATATTTTGTTTTTATACAAAAAAAGTTTTTAAAAATTGCTGAAATGATTTTTAAAAAAGTTTGTTTTTTTTACACGTAAAATGTTTTTAAACATCGCTTCCGTCATTCGTCGCAGATCCAGCTTTGTCCACCTGTCTACACGGGTCGGGCCTTCATGATTACGCGAGGCTGGGGTCTGGGAACGGCCTTCTGTCAGTCACCAGCTGAGCTCGGAGCTGGGAAGATGACGCCTGCCTGTTCTGGCTCCGGAGGAGAGGATCGTGTAAGACTAGCAGAGCGGGTCATAAAAAAAATTATATATATATATTTTAGCGTTGAAGATTTAAAAAATAATAAAATAAACGGTGCCGGCTTTATCATGAAATCTTGATTTCATTTTAATGACTGTTAACTCAGCTGAAAATCATAAAAAGACACAAAATTATTGGATCTCTCAGGAATATTTCCCTCAAACGTTTAAAGAAAAGAGACGGCCTTTAGTTCAACTTTATTTTAACCCACAAATGTACAAATCACAAAACAAGAACTTTAAAGCAAAGCTAAAAATAAAATGTATTTCTGTGAACAAGAAACAAAACCATACATCTAAAATGAACATTAAAAGTAGACACAATGAGTGCAAATATATTAAACGATGATGAAAACCTATAAAAATTTAAATATAGATGTTTTTGTAGAATCTGGTTAATCAGAGATTTAATTTATATACATATATATGTATTTATATCTATAAATCTATATATACATATACATACATATATATACATATATATACATATACATATACATATATATATACATATACATACATATACATATACATATATATATGCATATACATATATATGCATATATATATATACATACATATACACATACATACATATACATACATATACACATACATACATACATACATATACACATACATGTACATACATATATACACATACATATACATACATACATACATATACATACATATATATATA